CTGCAGGAGCCACGCAGAAATGCGAAGCCCGCACCAGCAAAAACACATGCCTCGGTCGTCGCCTCTTCCACCTTTTCCACCTCATCCACCTCATCCTCATACTTTGCTGAGGAAGCCTCCAAACATGGACTGACCCCGAACAGACATGTGCTGCTGGCAGAGTTGAGCGTTTGGAGCACCTACATCATACAAGTTGAAGCGGGTCAGAAAGGCAAAACATGGCAAAACCTGCCTTTCGGGCCTGGAGTTGCAAAGTGCTGGCACGAACAGAAGCTGACTGACAACCCAAACACTTCAAGCACCTAGGACATGAGTGCACGCCTTCTTCCCGGCAATCCCCTTCTTGGCATCCTCGACCGTTTCAGCGGTCTGTGATGGGGCAGCCTTCTTTGGCATGCTTTAGCGTGAGTCACAAGAAACACAACACGACAAAACCCTTGTCACCTTGACGTCTTCACTGTCTTCGGCCTCACCATCGCCAGCCTCAGCTCTTCAGGACATACGCTTAACACTGAATTTCCTGTCGGTCTCGGCTTCCCGCCTTGGCCCGGCGTGCGACCAGCAAGCTCTGTGCCCATATTCCCGGAGGAACCGACCTCGCGCTGGCTTGCGGATCTTCGGCGTTCCATGCCATACATCACATCCCACCTTGGAAACTGCACGGCCCCCGCTCCTAGCAAAGCCCGCGCCGTCTGCGCTGCTCGCCTGAGGCTGCTCGGGAAACCCTCTAACACTGTTCAAAGCACTGGTCTTAGGCTCTGGCAAAGACACCCAGAGCAGCGCCAGTAGCACCACAGCGCGCCCGACCTTGCGCGATGTTGCTGGAGGCCGGCTCATGGCGGCAATCGTCCTAGCTGTCCTCTGGCTCGAGCAAAAGCACTGCAATCTGCATGAACGAATGGTCGAGCCCCCCCTATTTCAGTCACGGGCCAAGTGTTTAATTAACCAACTGCAATTCAACATGCGAAGCAGTTGCAAGTGTGCACAGGCAACTGCTGCAAGATGCCTCGGTCGGGGTTCTCGACAGGGATCGGGCCTTGCGGCGGCACACTCCCGAAAGCCCATGAAATCTGAAGCCTTGCCACTTGCAAAGGCCTGTGAAATGTGAAACCCTGGCCCCAGTCTCAGGGTGGGAGGAAGGTGGGGGTGGGACGGCCTGGTGGGCAGTGAAGGGCCTGTAATCTTTCGAGCGCCCTGGCCGGCGCCCCGTCACACGTGTGGCCCACCTGCGTGACCCGACGTCTGTGCGGCCCCGCGTGCCCCCGTGACCCTGTGACCGGTCACCCCTGACCGCGTGACCCCGTGACCCCGTGACCCCGTGCCCCCGTAACCCCGTAACCCCCCGTGACCCCCGTAACCCGTAACCGCGTCGTGAGCCTCCCGCACCCCCGTGACCCCGTGACCCTGTGACCCCGTGACCCCCCCCCGGACCCCCGTGACCCCGTGACCCCGTGACCCCCGAGAGCCCCCCCGCACCCCCGTGACCCCGTGACCCCGTGACCCCGTGACCCCGTGACCCCGTGACCCCCCCCCGGCCCCGTGACCCCGTGACCCCGTGACCCCCCGCATGGTCCCCCATCACAATCCCGACTCAAAAGGGTCACGGGGTCACGCCTCCCATTCCCGACTCAAAAGGGTCACGGGGTCACGGGGTCACGGGGTCACGCCTCCCATTCCTGACTCAAAAGGGTCATGGGGTCACGGGGTCACGCCTTCCATTCCTGACTCAAAAGGGTCATGGGGTCACGGGGTCACGCCTCCCATTCCTGACTCAAATGGGGTCACGGGGTCACGCCTCCCATTCCCGACTCAAAAGGGTCACGGGGTCACGGGGTCACGGGGTCACGCCTCCCATTCCTGACTCAAAAGGGTCATGGGGTCACGGGGTCACGCCTTCCATTCCTGACTCAAAAGGGTCATGGGGTCACGGGGTCACGCCTCCCATTCCTGACTCAAAAGGGTCACGGGGTCACGGGGTCACGCCTCCCATTCCCGACTCAAAAGGGTCACGGGGTCATGGGGTCACGCCTCCCATTCCCGACTCAAAAGGGTCACGGGGTCACGGGGTCACGCCTCCCATTCCCGACTCAAAAGGGTCACGGGGTCACGATTCCCGACTCAAAAGGGTCACGGGGTCACGGGGTCACGCCTCCCATTCCCGACTCAAAAGGGTCACGGGGTCACGGGGTCACGCCTCCCATTCCCGAACTCAAAAGGGTCACGGGGTCACGCCTTCAGTTTTCCAAGAGCCTTCAAAAAAAGGTCACGGGGTTACGTTACTTCACTCAACCCACGCTCACTCGGAGCACCCGCCTTGTGGCTCGAAGATCGCGCCACTTGACAACGTCTCCTCAAGACGCGGATTTAAGGCTGCAGGTGGGGCTTCGGGCTCACTGGGCAGGCACGGCACAGCACTCCCGAAGCATGTGTTCCCTAAATTAGGCCCTAAATCCATACACTGTCCTCTTGAGGCACACAACCCCAACCACAACACCAAAGCACTTCACCCCTAAACCCTAAACCCGCCTCTGGTGGAATCGAAGATGGCTCGAGGACGAAGCTTTCGATGAGCGCCTGGCCGCAGGAGGGGGGAGAGGAGGGGGCCTAAGCCTGCGAACAAAACCCGACCCCGAAACCTTGCAGCACAGCACTTCCAAACCTTGCTGCCTCGGAGCCCCCTTGCCTGCAACCCTAAACCCTACCGACCCTGAAGCCTCTGTGGAACCCGGCTCGCAGTAACGAAGACGATGACGAGGAGCACCTGATCACACGAGGGCCTGGGGATTCCAGGAAGGGCGGGGGGGGAAGCGCACAACACTCTAGGTTACAAGGGGAAGGGACGGGTGGGGGACAGCACTCCTACCCGCACGCAGTCCGAACCACCTAGCAGCCTCGGAGCCCCTTGCCTGTCAACCTAAACCCTGAAACCTTGCAACACTGCACTTCCAGACCTCACTGCCTCAGAACCCCCAACCACCTTCCCAAACAACCCTGAACCTCTGGAGCGCCCGGCGTCGAGGAGCGAGCACGGCCCAAGCACTCTAGCAAAAAATGCGCAGAAAAAAAACAACAAAAAAAATGCCACAAAATTATGCGAAAATCAAGCAAAGTCATGCCAAAATCATGCGAATCCAGCAAGAACGTGCAAAACAAAAATGCCAACGCTTTGGGTTTAGGAGGTTTAAGGCAGCCTGCTCGCCCTAGAGCAGTGATTTTTAGGCCTGCTCGCCCTGGAGCAGTGACGAGTTTCTAGGCCGCTGCCATGCGTCACTGAAAGCCCTCGTGATTTTTTCACACTGCTCGTGTTCGGTCATGTTCGCGATTCTGGCCAAAAGGCACAGGACCCGTCGCTTGCCTCCTTCGCGCAAGGGCTTCGTGTATTCAAGCACCCGGTCCGTGACCTTGTGGCCCAGGCGGAGCCTCAAACTTTGGAGGGCTGCTTCCCTCTGCTGCCGGCTGCGCGTCGCTTGGCGGTCGCGTCGGCGATCGCAAAAGTCTTGCAGGCAGAGCAAAGTGCCCCGGCTGCACAGAAAGAGATCGGGGATCATCCCTACCACCGCGGTGCCCGAATCCGGGAACAGCCAGTCGATTAGTGGGTCTTTGGTCAAACTCTCCTCGGTCGCAGTGAGTCTGCTGGGCTGCGGTCTGGGCGGGGGACGGTTGGGACGTGGCGGCAACGCCATGAAGGCCACGATCATCAGGCTCGCTCGAGCGGGGCGTCGTCGTGCCAGGTCGAGATCACCTCTTCCATGAAATTCTTGGGCTGGGGCCGGGGGTTCACGAGATACCGGTCCATGCTTTTGAACCAAGTGCCCGGAAAAAACTCGACCGGCGAAGGGGGGCCCGCTCGGGCGACGACCTTTTTTCCGGCCGGGGTTTTCAAAAGTCATGAGCTGGGCTCAACAACGAGAAGCGATTAGAATTGCAGCCGAGGCCGGGGTCAGGGCGAGGACCTCGGCGGCAGGCTCAGAAACCCTTCCTTTGGCACACCACCACCTCCGCTACGCGATGCTCAGCCGCCCGAACGGCGAACTCACGAGGGCCGGCCAGTACTACTACCAACTGATCGACCGGCCGCCCCCCAGCCGGCAGTACGACCGCAACCAACCCCTCATCCGCGAGGGCCCGAACGATTACATCATGCTCCGGGGGGGCGCCAAAAAGCTGCTCCGCAGCCTCCAGCCCAACGGGAACTACCACTTGACCAAGCTCGGGAAGAGCTTCTTCAAGGACAAGTGGGTGGACTGGGTGGTGCACGTGCCCGTCATCATCCGCGGCATCCGGCGAAACGGCCGGAACCGCGGCATGCCCTACGAGCGCACGAAGCGCCTGCCCGTCACGGACCTCAACGTCACACTGCCCCGGCAGAGCGAGGGGCTCTCGGATGGCCCAAGCGGCCCAGAACCTCAAGGCGTCCGCGCTCGCGCAGCTCGGGAAGCCCGAGCCGAACGACATTATTTGGGAGCTGTCCGACGAGAGCTACTACCTGGACGCGACGAGGGAGTGGACCTTCAGCCAGCAGGCCATGCAGGTCGTAGACGACCGGGTGGTGGTGGAGACCGTCCTGGATCAGCCCCTGGGGGGCGTCTCCTACCAGCTGTACTGCGGCGACGAAATCCTACGCCTTCGAACAGCGGCCGGACAAGCTTTGCGTCCCTCGGCAGCTCGCGGAGTTGATGCGGCTGCCGCTGCAGGAGGTGCTTTCGGACTTCGACGCAATCTGCACCAAAAAAACGTGGCGGGAGCAGGGCATCACCTCCCGAGAGATCCGGGAATTCTGCCTTTGGCGCCAGGCCCCGATGTTCTACGTGGACTGCCAGGGCCGCCTGCTGGACAAGTACGAGCCTACCGTCAAGGAGCAGCGGGCCGTGGCCTTCACGAGCTGGAACGGCCACGCCTTCTTCTACAAATCCGCCCGCACCGTCGGGAAGTGCGAGCCGATCGGGGAGCGGGCCAGGTACCGGGGCGAGAGGAAGCCAGGCGAAACGCCCGAGTTCAAG